TTGGTTTCCTTCAAATAAAAGTGATCAAGGCTGCAGATTTGATGGCTGCTGATTTAAACGGTACTACACACACACACACACACACACACACACACACACACACACACACACACAGAGGATCCCATGTTTTGTATATCAACGGTTAATCTGCCTGTTACATTAATCCAATCAATTAACTGTTTGGTCAATAAAATGGTAAAACTGCAATCCTGGTTGACTCTTTCCAAAACCCAGATATATTCAGTTTAATTTGATATTAAATAACTTTTTTTTTAAAACTGAACATTTCCATATTTGAGAGGCATTTTTGCGTGAAGAGATACTTCAACTTTTAATCCATTATTAATAAAGTTGGTGATTGTTTTTTGTGACAATAGACGAATCGGTTGATCAACTTATCGTTGCTGCTGTAGTCACACATTTTGATTTGAGTTCTCTTTGTTTTCGCATTAAAGGGATAGAGGGAGCCCAGTTTAAAATGTGTTTCTTGTTGTTCTGCAGGCAAGAGTGATCCTTTCTGTGTGCTGGAGCTGGGGAACGACAGACTGCAGTCCCAAACAATCTACAAGAGCCTCTACCCAGAGTGGAATAAAGTCTTCACATTGTCAGTTGGACTCTCATTTTCCTGCCACATTTTCTTTGTAATACAATGCATGTAGGCTGTTTGACAACAGATTGAAAAATGGGGACGTAAAAAGTGTGCTTGTTTTTGTGGACTATCTGACCTAATTTTTCTGTCTCCGCAGCCCTGTCAAAGACATTCATGAGGTTCTGGTGGTGACTATCTTTGATGAGGATGGAGACAAGGCGCCAGACTTCCTGGGAAAAGTCGCTATACCCCTGCTCTCGGTACACACTATCTCCCCGAGAGTCCATCACCCGGACAATAGACTCATCTATTTACACCCTGTGTCTAAATGAAAGTGAAGAGGGCGATAGCACTCTCTCGCGTTGAAGACTCGCTAAAATGTAATCCAGCTTGACTGACAGTCAGGTGCAGCGACGAGTTCAGCACCTGATGCCCTTTTCTGTCCCCACAGGTCCGCAGGGGACAGCAGATCACCTACCCGCTGAAGAAGGAGGACTTAGGTGGGCTGTCGAAGGGCACCATCACTCTGGACGTGGACGTTATTTTTAACCCTGTGAGTAAAAGTTCAGCCTGCAGTGATGGCTGTGAAACATGGGCCTGATTCTGTCCGCTTGTCATCGCTTCATGTCTTTTTCTTTTCTTTTTATCAGGTCAGAGCGAGTATAAGGACCTTCCAACCAAGGGAGAGAAGATTCCTGGAGGACAATCCCAAGTTTTCCAAAAAGGTTTGAAACAGTTCTGAGGATTTACTCCATAATACAGGGGTTTGGAATCATAATTTTTGTAACATACATTTAGATTTTGAAGTTTTTACTGCTGACATTTAAGCATTAAAATGTCTAAAGACAACTACTGTAGTCCTCTTATCTCTTTTCAGAAAAGGTTCAATCCTTTAGATATCTGTAATTGGAATCACGGTAGCGCGTTTTCTTTGCTCACGTTATTGCTACGTATCCTCTTAGCGTTGTGGCGAGCATTAATTGTATCTACATTTTATGATACAACTTTAGATTAAGGTGTTTTTTAACTATATATGTTAACCTGAGTAAAGATTTAGATCATTGTACGTCTCGGTCTTAAGTTTTAAGCTAAATGAGCCGAGCAAACCTTAGCACTCTATACACCAGATGATGACTGCAATTGTGGTTAAGACAACAACTCCCATGACCCCATGCTACGGGGGTAGCATGGGGTCATGTTAGTACATTTATTATCTTTGGGTCGGGTTGGTAGGACAAAACAAAGGCATCTCAAGATGAAAGACATGAAGACATTTGAGAAAAGTTTAAATGTATCAAAAATGTTTTTGATGTCTTATCAACCAATCGATGAATCATTTATCAACAAAAAGACTGAGCAGATTAATCAATAATGGTTGCAGCCCTAAACACTCACCAAAGGTTACTAGCAGGCATCAATAAAGAGGGCAAGGGTCAGAGGTCATTGCACTTTTGACAATATCCATGTGATGCTTGGATAATTGAAAGTTCAAAGAATAACAAAAAAAGGTGAAAGACAAGCTTTTAAAACGTTACCACGTTTATTTTCAAATGGCCCTGAACCTAAAAAATGTCAGTTGTTTCCCCTAAAAAGCTACGATGGCAACTTCGCTTCGCCTGAATTGAGCTTTAATTGACCCCAACTGTGACTGAGTTTGTGTCCAGTGTCCTGCTACATTAGTTTGATATACAGTGTGCAAGACAGGGTGCCTGACTGTCTGTACTTCCCACAAAGACTCATTGTTGTCGGACAATACATAGTTCGCCAATGCCAAAATTGGCTTACGCACAGAGGACTCCGATGGTAATGTGCGGGGCTTCCTTCTGTTTTAATGTTGAAAGTCTTGCTTGTTGCAATCAGGTCCGATTATTGACATTGTTTACCCCCCTGACCACGATAATGCCAGGCAGGGTTAGGAGGTTCTTTGGAAAAATGTATTCTGTTATAATTACTAATTACCTTAAAACCTTCTTTTTTTTTATAAGTAACCCGATCTAGTTATAAGTGTTACAATATGAAAGTAATGTAACTTAATTACTTTCCATTAGAAATCAAATGCAATGGCAATAAATACAAGAGAAAGGGAATATCAATAAGATGGCTTTAACTAAAAATGTATCCTCTGCTCAGAGACTTTATTTATAGGGAAACCTTTAAATGTATTGCTTTTAATCTGTAAAGCACTTTGAATCGCCACATGCTGAAAAGTGCTATATAAATAAAATTGCCTTGCCTTGCCTATTAAGCATATTTAGGCAACAGCCTATACACCAACAATGAAACACATGAACACAGACTACAGTTTCAAAAGGCAGAATAAAATCTGAGCTGACAGAAAATTCTCCATTTTAGTTCAATACATACAGCTAAGATCACAACACTATGTATGAACATAATAGGTTAATCTAATAAAAATGAAAACCATAAAGAAAATACAGGCAGTAGGCATTAAGATTCACAGTTTAAGTATTAGATTTCTGCTCCTAAAACAAAATGTGATCTTACTACAGTTTATGGAAAAGTAAGTATTTTTATCAAATCAGCTTGCCTCAATAGTAGGCCAGCTCCTCACAACACAAATGTGGACCTCATTTTACCCAAAGGAAGATTTCTCTGATCTAGAGGCAATAATGATAAACTGGGAAATCAGCTATAGCTAGCTCAGTGTCTTGTGAAGTGTTTAAATGTGTTACCTAATATATCATTCTTAATTTTAAAAAGCATTGTTCTATAGTAATTATGCAAGTAACCCTATAATGGAAGACGGTTACCTTTTTTGTATCCTTATTGCTAAATCCCGGTGCATGTAATCCCCAGCCCTAATGCCAGGCTACTGTCACTATCACACTAGCTGACTGGACGTTAGTATCAACACTAAATCAGACCTCTACTTTAGGAAACATGTCTTTTATCCATTTTGTAAACTGCTGTATTTACTTGTTTTGCATGTTCATGTCGTGTCTCTTTCAGGTTCTGGCCAGGAACGTGATGCGCGTTCAGATGCTGTTCAGGGCCATCATGTCGACTCTGCACTACATCAAAAGCTGCTTCCAATGGGAGAGCGTTCAGAGGAGCCTGATAGCCTTCCTGGTGACGTGCTTTAACTCTCTTATCAAACTATCTGCATTTCCTTCTGTTTTCCCTCCAAGCTGCGGAAAAAACACAACCGCAGCCCGGCTATCCCCTACTTGAACTCTCCCAGCGAGATTCTTAATCAATGCGGTGTTGGGCTCAGCATAAAATGGAAAGGCTCGGCCCCCTTCTCTGCGTCGGAGTGGACGCTCTCAGCGCCGTGCGTCTCATGGATGCAGAGATAAGCCTCAGCTGCAGAGAGTAGCGTCCCGGTGGAGTCGAGACAGTCTATTTTTGTTCTACTTCCCTGACAACTCATTAACCCTCCGTCCAATCTGCGCTAGGTTTGATTTAGTTCCCATTATGCAGACAGGAGTCCAATTAAAAGCCTCTTTTAGAGATAAGGCTTCTTCTCCTCCTCCCATTGTTCAATATAAGTGTTAAACAAGTGCAAAGACAGAAACACAGGCCCTTGCCTTTTAAACCCTAAAGTGGATAGGGTGCTGGTCTTTTTGACATTATTTCTCTCTCAAATCTAGTTCAATTGAAAAGCCATGAAGCAAGTTGTGCATTAACTATGCAGGAAATCAGGGTCATGTAAAGTTCTTTTTGTTTTTGCCGCAGACTTCCTGTAGATGGCACTGAAGTTTAGTAAAGGCGATGGATAGTGTACGCCAGCCAAGAGTACAGTTTGTCCAATTTGCTGTGAAAATGGGAGCTGCCGCACAGAGCTGTTATCTGAACAGTAGCTGGGGTTTGAGCCATGCTTTTTATTTTGTACTTAAGTTGAGGATCACTTGAAAAATGGGACCTTTTTGCTCACAGTGAAAATATTGTTAATACATAGTTATCTCAAATTAAACAGAATTCCCAATCCCCTTCTCTAAGTTCATTAATTAATAAAAGAGTTTATAATGATGTGTAATATTGTTGTTTTACCTGACAGATCACACACTCAAGCTCAAATCATACAAGCATGAACGAACACACACACACACACACACACACACACACACACACACACACACACACACACACACACACACACACACACACACACACACACCACACACACATATCCTCCCACTGTTTGAAAGACAGTACCATCTGTACTTGTGTTTTCACACCACACCACCACCATTTCAAGCCTCAATGAGAAGAAATAAATGCCCACTTAATACCGCCACATGAGAGAAATGAATCAAAGCTTTACTCGGCATGACAGGATAGAACCACCCGCAACATCTGCCCATTGTCAGATATGTGTGAAGACAGTCAGTGTAGTTTACCAAGGTGTATTCGGTATACTTTAAAATGTGCAAGTTATCCTAGTGAGAAGCCTCCAACCTGGCAGTAAATATACAACTTTTATAGATCACATGCTGTTGTTTCCTAATTAGTTAATTTTATTAAGGGTGGTGTGACTTGCGGTTTGATGTGACATTTGAATATCCACCCAAACCCAGACAAAATAGTCCCCCATGGGCAACGTCATCATACACAATTTGTTAGGTTGAATTCCATATTTACATTGTTTACTATCCCTTCAGGATAAAGTAATAAACATCCATTAGCACAATAAAATAGGCGATAATTCTATTGGTACATTTTGCTGATCTAAGAGATGTGTCTTTACCAGCTCTTGTTTATATCCTAGTATGCACACACCTAACATAACGGGTGTAAATAAGCTTTGTTGTAAACATAACTACTGAGTATATAATTATTCAACTCTATTTTCAATATGAACCAGGTACAATGATGATGACAGTTTAAAGCAACAGGATCTAATGAAAACGTTTATATTAAACATGTGAATCAGCATATTTTAAAGTTGGTTTAACGCGATATATTCGATGTCCGGTCCTTACAAATATTGGAGCAAGAGCATTGATCAAATAAATACCCTTGCTTTTTTTGCTGCTAAAGCCTTCCTTTGCCTATGACCAGCAGCGTATATATTCTGGTTCACTGACTGTATGGCGCTTTTAGCATCCTCCTCGAGAATTATTCCTACTAATCATCAGGAGAATGAGAAGTTATATTGTCCCTACTTTAAACAATAGTGTCAGTTATTTTTTGTTATGTTCTTGGATTACCGCCGTGCCATGCAAACCCTTCCCCGAGCATTAGCCTGGAAATCCTGCTACAATCTGAAAATGTGCTACCCTCCAGTCCGGTAGCCCTCCCAACTTTAGGGTAGCCCTTGATCTTTTTTTTCTTCTCTCCGATCTGGATCACATTTCCAGAGCCCCTTTTCGCTGTCGAAGACTGTGTAATGCCTCTCAAGCTGAAATGCGCTGCAATTATGACAATCTTTATGGGCTGGGTATACATTTCCACCAAAGCGTGACTTGGCTTTCCCCCTCACCCCCAGCTCTCCCATCATCACAAAGTCCTCTCTAATAAAACCAAACCCTTTTAGTCAGGAGTTGGTTTCATCTGTTGTCCCAGGCCCTGTTCTTGGCTTGTGATAACAGACAAGAGCATGCTTGGCTCATTGCTCATTAAAGCTGGTGTTGGGGGGGCTTTGAAAATGCCATCTTTTATGTCAGTTGGTGCCTCAGAGGAGAGTGATGTCTTTACCACATGTTCACTTCTATTTTTATTAGCATATCACCAACCTGTAAACCCTTTCCCCACGCCTTGTGGCACGCTGCCATGCTGGCCGGCGCTGCCTCTCTGACGGGATTATTTCATCGTTTCCATTTAGCCCCGCAATCGAGGCATCACACTCTTTATCCCCTAATCCATTTTAACCTGATGTCCATCATGAGTGGCATTTTAAATTTTAATAACATATTCACACACGGACTCCCTGTGGCTCCAGTGGGCCGCGGGGTCGTCTTTAATGTACACAGGATGAGAGACGTGGATCAATTAGACTTAATGTCAATGTATATACGGGGGGTGAGGGGGGGTCGCAGTGGTCGCCCCGCACAGTGTATGCAGAACAACTGAACGTAGGAACAAGGCTTTGATATGGGTGGGGTAGCCTTCATCAGCTTGACCATTACTAATTAAATCAATAGCAGATTGGATCAACCTTTAGCTAGCGGGGGATTCAGGAACTATGGAAAATGTCTTTGGGACTTAATGAAGAGTTTGTTTCATACTCCAGACCCCCTCTGGAGCGTGACCCCACTCATGTGTGACCTCTGCCTGCAGGTGTTTCTGGTGACGGTGTGGAACTGGGAGTTCTACATGCTGCCCCTCTTCCTGGTGCTGCTCATCGCCTGGAACTACATCCAGATCCGCTCCGGGCGGGTCGCTCAGGACGAGGTGGGTATCTGGTCCTGTTCACACTCCTCTTTATTTATTTCATGTAGAAAAAGTTAATGTAGAAAGGCAGCAATGAGGCTGTAGCAACTTCTTTAGTCTTCGTCTTTTCTTCTTCTCTTTCTTTTTCTATATCTTCTTCTCATTTGTCTTCTTCTTAGTCTTCTTCTTTGTCTATGTCTTCTACATCTTAGTTTTGTTCTTCTTTGTTTTCTTTTTCTTCGTGACCTGCTGGTTCCTGTTCATATATATATATATATATATATATATATATATATATATACAGTGGGGGAAAAAAGTATTTAGTCAGCCACCAATTGTGCAAGTTCTCCCACTTAAAAAGATGAGAGAGGCCTGTAATTGTCATCCTTGGTACACCTCAACAATGAGAGACAAAATGAGAAAAAAAAATCCAAAAGAATCACTGTCTGATTTTTAATGAAATAATTGGTAAATTCCTCGGTAAAATAAGTATTTGGTCACCTACAAACAAACAAGATTTCTGGCTCTCACAGACCTGTAACTTCTTCTTTAAGNTCGATGGAAGCCATACCAAAGAGGACCTGACCCCTTTCGACTGACGGGCTGTCGGTCTTACGGATTGAGACGTCGAGTGCTTTTAATAGGTTGTGCCTTACCACGTTCATTTGATCAGTTCTGTGCAAATCGCGGTTTTGCAGCGAAGAATATTGACAGTTCCCTGTAACTCTAAATCGGTCTCTGCGCTTTAGTGTTTTACGTCTTCGATCTCAGTGCAACGAAATCAGAGATGGCACAGAGACTGTTGTCGTGTTCTCCGGTAAATGTTATTTTAGACTTCTTTTGCACTGCTGTTCCATCATGTTCTGTCATCCCTGCCTGTGTTGTTGAGGGCTGGGGTGCTTCTTTATTTATTGTCACTACGTAACGATCCATCTTGAAATTATTTGGCGCAAGGATAAAAAGCTGCTCTGCACACCGTAAACAATGACGGCTGACGTAAATACTGAGAATTTAAGCTGTTTAATATTTCTAAATCTGAGCAATATATGTTTTATTAGCTTATAAACTCCATTGTACATGTAATAAAATAAAGTGTATATGAAGTGAAGTTTATTAAGTGAGAAAAAAATGTGGAACATAAAAATACGTTTTTTTGCGGCACACTTGGACAGTGCTCGCGGCACCCCAGTGTGCCACGGCACACCGGTTGGGGACCACTGATCTACGGGACAGTTTTGAGATTTCTTCAAATGCCGTTGCCATGGCAACACAATGCTCGCCTTGAAACACGGTTTTCTCATAACTTCAGTGAAATTCTCCACACAGCCCAGAACTTCACAGGTTTAGTAACGATGCAGCCATCAACGCATCTAAGCGTAGTATGGGGTGTCATCAAATACCGTTGCCATGGCGACGGACCACTCGCCATGAAATACGATGTGGCTGTAAGTCCCATCGACACGGTCCAATCGTCCCCCAATCTTCACTTGTATATCACCGGTCCATGCCTCAACAGCTCTACGCCAAATCTGAGATCTCACCATATGCCGTTTCCATGGAAACGCATCCCTCGCCATAAAACATGATGTCGCTATAACTCCTATGAAAATGTTCAAAAAGTGCTCAAACTTCACATGTGTGCTAACAGTCCAGCCGTGAAGACATCTACGGGACCGTTTTGAGATTTCTTCAAATGCCGTTGCCATGGCAACACAATGCTCGCCTTGAAACACGGTTTTCTCATAACTTCAGTGAAACTGCTCCAAACGCCCCAAAACTTCACAGGTTTGGTAACGAGGCAGCCATCAACGCATCTAAGCGTATTATGGGGTGTCATCATATGCCGTTGCCATGGCGACAGATCATTCACCATCAAGTTAGTTCAGAAGTTTGCAGTTCAAATATTCTGCTGCTTTTCCAAGCCTTTTTACTTTCTTTTCTTCTCTCATCACACATTCAAGCCCCCAGTGTTCATGTATCATTTCAATCTCAAGTCTTCACTTTCTTCTTACACATTACATTTCAGCATAGCAGTTTAGCGTCAGCTTTTCAGCATAAAGCATTCCCACTAGCAATTTCTTCAGGAATTGCATTCTCTAGTTCATCTCGTTCTTCTTTGTCATCTGTGTCATCTTCTACTTTGTCTTTTCTTATTCTTCTATGTCTTTATCTTCCCCTCTATCCTCTTCGTTGTCTTTGTCTTTTTCTTCTGGACCTGTTGGCTCCTGTTCACATTTAATATCCTATGTATCTATAAGTTGTACAAAGACTCAGGTCGTTGTGAATCTGGAGCGGCTTCGTAGGACTTCTCCTTGTTTTTCTTCCTCTCCCTCTGCAGTGACCTACTGCTACCTGTTCACACTTCATTTATTGTTGAAAAACGATCACCTCAAACCCATTTTTCTCTCAAAATTAAAAAGCTGCTATGTTTCCATAGCAACCAGCTGCACCAAGCTACATAATAATAAAATAACACATAATACAGAGAAACCTCGCTGAATAGACTAATGCAACATATCATTATAGCCTAAGCTAATTTGCAGTACACGGCTTTCTTCTTTTCCCAGTCCGCCTCTAGTTATTGTCCTGAATCCTTCCTCTTCTTCACTGTAATTGGTCTGTTGCCCTCTTCTCGTTGAGACTAAGTTTTTATGCCTCTGCTCTGTAAAAGGTCACAGCTCAGTGTTTTTCCCCCCACTGTGACCACTATCCGTTTTACAAAGAAAAAAAGACGTAGCATCTTGTATGTGCTCAGTTTGTAGAAGCAGTACACACCATAGGTTATAGCAAATAACATACACACTGTGCAATTCAGACAACAATGTGCTTCATTTTACTGTTAAAGAGGCCCTCAAATGCTTTCTTGAGTTGTCCCTTTCCTGTAGTGTGATATATAGGTATCGGTGCAATGTTCTGCAAAGGCTTAAATCCCCGTGTTCCCTCAAGAGGGAGTATCTCTCATACACACTCCCCCCTGCCTGAAACACCTCCATTGGACTACTTTGATTACTTCCATAACATAGTGACATCATTATGGAACACACATGCTATTGGCTAGCTCTCCAACATATCAGATATCAGATCAGACCGGTTAAGGGGCAGGACATCTCCAAGCGGTTGACCAATCACAATAGAGCCGGTCAGTTTGAGCATTTCATTCATATACGAATAATAATATGACGGCAATAGGGGAACTTAAAGACATAAAAAAATATTCTTTAATGAGCCAGAAAAGGGATTTTTATTCAGAGAAATACCTCTAACTTTAGCTTTACGGATTTAATCCTTGAAATATTGATAGTATCTAAGAAAAGATTAAATTTCAATACTTTAAAAGTATAAGTTTACAAAACAGCAAAAACGATATATTATATGATTTTAGAAGTCATCTTTTCTGTACGGAAATCCAATACACATTCTAATGTCAGAGAATATTCAGATGTCTTTATCGTCAATTCTGGACTTCTCTATCGGAACGTCTTTTCCCCTTTTGTTAGATTACATAAAGATATTGATGTATCATGTTCTGGTATAGACGTGTGATTTATCTCACCTTCGGTTGCCGTGGTGCGTTGTGAACAAAGACCAACACGGCCTGCTGTCAGTCAGCTGTCCTGCAGAGTGTTTGTGAGGCTGACCCCGGGTCAGCCTGACCCCTGCACTCTGTCACAGGACGACCCCACCAGCACACTGGAGTTAATGCAGAGTCCCAGCGTCAACATGAGACTAAGTTCATAATGTAGAAAAGATCCTCAGCTTTATAATACAGCTGCTGTTTCATTTTCAGGACAATATGGATGTGGGGGATGATGAAGAGGATGATGAGAAGGTATGTACCTGTGTTTCTTTTGTTTGCAGTTCTTTAAATTTAAGCATCTGTATTTTCTGATGAAAAGAAAGGAAGTTTATTTTTGACAGATTCCTATGATCTATGATTTTGGGCTCTTCACTCAGTACTAAATCTTCAGATGCATTTTGATTCTTGACAACCACAAGATTTTAAAAAGACGTTTCGGGCTTAATGAAGACCTCACTGACCCGTTTCCACATGTCACAACACATTCATATGCTAATAGAGAGGTGGGCGGGGGGGAGGTTCTGCTGCATTTGGGAAAGTCCCTGAGCTTAACATGCCATATAATACCGACAATATGGAACTAATGACAGCACTTAGACATGCTTTTTCAAAGCTCATTGGAAATCTGGTGTTCAAAGTATAACAATGCTTTTTAGTCAATGAAATATTCCTTTAGTTTATTTTAGACGTTTTGAATGGTCTGGCGTAAAGTGGTTCTCAAACTGTCTTCAGTGGGAACATGACCCTGAACTGGTTGAAGTAGTTCAGCGCAGTGAGGGGGCTGATTGATATTTGACTATTCGTCTTACAGTGACTGATGGTCACCATGAATATCCCAGGTTTGATCCCCTCCGCAGCTCCTTTCCCAGGCCTGTCCCCAGCCTCTGGGTGGCATGGAGCCAGCGACCCCTCCGTGTCTCTGAGCAGATGCGAACGGACATCACAGAGATTACATAGTGACAAAGACCATGGCTTTGGCCAGTAAACAGTCCCCCGATAACCAGCGCCCGCAGACCCCAGGCTCCCCTCTCTTCATCCTCTAACCCTCCTTCAGTCTCCCCATGTTTGATGTGGACATGTAGCCGTGTCTCTACAGATCTGTGCACTGAGAGCCAGACTTCAGACACAGTCTCCTCCTGTTTACTCTAAAGCCATCCTCCCTCCTGGGATCTGGACGAGCCTGAGAACGGTGCCTCTTCTCTTTCAAAATGTGGAGTCCAGTCCCACTCTGAAGAGCATTCAATTCACAGCCACTGAAGCTGAGAATCTGCCTTTACATTCTGCAGACTGTTCGGTGTCTTTCTCTGAGACAAATATACTTAAAGTACCAAAAGTAATAACACTTAATATGCCAATTTTATAATTAAGCAATAGCTCACGACAGGCCGTGGTATATGCTCATTATATCACAGCTAAGGGGCGTGGTTCGGCCCGACGCTTTTCAGCCCAACGGTATACTGTTTTTCTCAGACGCGGAGGGATACTGACTTGTTGTGAAAAGTAACTTACAATTCTACCCGTGGTATACGCTCAGTATATCACGGCTAAGAACCAATCAGATTGCTTGATTTGACTTGTCCGTTTTATAATCAAATATACGACATGTTGCTATGATAGTTATTGATGTATTAATGACGTGTTAATCAAGATGTAACTGTGGAACTCAATCTAATGACTTTGTATACAGCACGGTATCTTGTGAATCTAATCCAGGTGTAACTAAAGTCCTATTTAAGTTTTCATCATGTTGTTTTTATTATTATTCCATATCTGTAAAGTAATTAACGAAATGAAGGTAGTGCATTAATGTAATTGGGTAGAAGTACAAAGTAGCATTTAAATTAAAAAAAATCCCAAGTTAAGTACAAGGAGCGCAAAATTGTACTTGTATCTATACTTCAAATGTTTTACTTATATTTAATTATTGTTTTCATATATTAATGTTCCTAAAATATGTATGTGATACCACATCTTGTATACAAGGGAGTGTAAATGGTTAATCAATATATACCCCGATAAAACAACTAAAACAGCAAATAAGAGCAGCAAACACACCCTTCCCATTATACACCGTTTATAAACTTCTGATCCTTTTTGGTTTAACTGTAGGAGTCGGAGAGAAAAGGGCTGATGGATAAAATCCACATGATCCAAGACACCATCATCACTCTTCAAACCCTGCTGGATGGGATCGCTAACTTTGGGGAGAGGATTAAAAAGTAAGAATTTACCAAACCACCATGAATCACAGCTCATTATCTGTATTTGCTTTCAGCTCAAATGTCTTGAATCACAATATGAAATGGATTAAAAGCTTCTCCTGTATAAAGTCTGCATTAGAGGGGCCACAGCCACATGTTTTTATTACAACAAGTACTGTATTTTACAGACAAAGATGAAATTAAGTTGGAATACTTACTGATGATTTATCTTTTTAGCACTTTCAACTGGTCGGTGCCATTCCTGTCCGGCCTGGCTATCCTCATTTTTGTCACTGCAACAATCCTCACGTACTACGTCCCTGTTCGATACGTGGTTCTAATATGGGGTGAGTGTCAAACACAGTTTATTAAGTTGTATGTTGATCTGTCTGTTGGCCTTTATTTAAACAAAGTAAAATATGTCCTTTATCATGTTTTGATTGTCTATAAGATGTATAGCATCCCAGGAATATTTGCTGCTTATATTTTCTGGCTGTTAAGTCCCTTCCCCATTATCTCCTTAATATTAGCTGCTTATAATGTACTGAATGAGTTAAGGCAGATCTTAATGGTGTTAAAAGTATTACAGCCTAAGAAGTGAAAGTAAAAGAAGAATAAAGGCTGCAGCAGTAATATTTCTCGGACGGCGTGATCCTCCTCTGCAGGTATTTGTTTGTGTGGAAACAAAAAGCGCAGCCACAAGAGACTATCGTTAATGATACGTTGGGTGTGAATTTCTGTTTTAGGCATCAATAAATTCACCAAGAAATTACGGAATCCGTACAGCATCGACAACAATGAAGTGGTTGATTTCCTGTCGAGGGTGCCTTCAGATGTGCAGAAGGTAAGCCGGTCAGGAAGCCCAAAATCCCCGAGCCCCGCTGCGCTGTGCCTCGCGCTAAAACAACTCCCAGGCATTCTTCCCCCTTGTCTGTATAATTAGCTTCATCTGTATAATTATGTAGCCCCGTATAATTTCTGTTGTGTTTTTGGTCGTGATACATCCCTGGTGGAGGTCTGCTGCTTTAGCTGCTTTGCAGGGCAAGCTGTTCCCAGGCTGCCTCCTGTATGAACTCCCCCCCCACCCCCCCGCCCCCCCAGCAGGAGCAGAATATAGATACCTCCTCCAACTCGCGTACACCCACGGCTAAACATTCTACAGTCTAAACGTTCTGAGTTCAAAATGTTTTTTGTACAGAAGTATTATCAGTATGCAGATTGACTTTCCTTCTGACCTTATATTAGAGGTATTATATTATTTTATTTATTTCTAACAAATACATGTAAGAGCATTTTTATGTTGTTTGTTAACACTGATCCAATTTAAGTTAAATACTATTGACTAGTACTACAATACTGCATCATATCAGCATAGCATTCATTTTTGTGTTAATAGTAACTGTAGGTTCAAAATAAATGTATAATTAATCATATTTGAAATATAAAACAGTAGAAGTATAAAGTAGCATCAAATGGCATACAAAGCATGACAAAAAGGTGCTTGAGTAAATCACTCAAAAAAATGTTCTTGTGACATTCCAACACTGGTAATCTAAATAAAATAAAAAATCCCTTTTACGCTTGATTTCATTTTTCAACAGCAGTGCCAACAATAAAACCATTATGGACACACTAGTCGTGGTATGTTGAAAAGTTGTCTAAGGCCAATTTAAAGTATGAGACATTTACAAAAGATCTGTTGGCATTCTCCCTTCTTGTATCCTCTTTCCTTTTTTATTTTCTTTTTTTACCCGCTGTTGTCTCTCCTCCTCATCCTCTCTGTGTCTATCCTTTTCCCTTTAAGTCGTTTGACCCCATTTGCCTCCTCCCTGTCCTTCTTGAATGCCCTTGGGCCTCTGGGTTTCGTGACGGAGACTCTCTCTAGCTTCTCGGCCAGCCACTGTTATTTCTGTCGATGCATGACTTTGGTCGTCCTGCTCAGTAGTGGTAGTTCTCCCTTATAACGTGGTGCAGGAATTAGTTAGCATTTTACCCCTTTCTATTCCCTTGTTTTGAAATCAACAGTTATTTTTTTGCGTATTAGATGCCTGAAGTAACATCTGTGGTTACCTTAAGAGATGTTCAGGTTTTGTTCTAACATTGTGATGTAGTTTGTTTATAGCCTAACATTAGCTGCCTTTTAGTTTAGCTGTGGTAGTTTGTTTATAGCCTAACATTAGCTGCCTTTAGCTTAGCAGTGGTAGTCTGTTTATAGCCTAACATTAGCTGCCTTTAGCTTAGCAGTGGTAGTCTGTTTATAGCCTAACATTAGCTGCCTTTAGCTTAGCAGTGGTAGTTTGTTTATAGCCTAACATTAGCTGCCTTTTAGTTTAGCAGTGGTAGTTTGTTTATAGCCTAACATTAGCTGCCTTTAGCTTAGCAGTGGTAGTCTGTTTATAGCCTAACATTAGCTGCCTTTAGCTTAGCAGTGGTAGTCTGTTTATAGCCTAACATTAGCTCCTTTAGCTTAGCAGTGATTAGCTGCCTTTAGCTTAGCAGTGGTAGTTTGTTTATAGCCTAACATTAGCTGCGTTTAGCTTAGCAGTGGTAGTTTGTTTATAGCCTAACATTAGCTGCCTTTAGCTTAGCAGTGGAAGTCTGTTTAAAGCCTTACATTAGCTTTTTGGTTCTGCTGATTGCATATATGCTTTAAAAAAAATCATAAAGTGGTGTTACTTGTTGATGTGAAGACGATCCTTCGTAAAAAAAAACGAGTTAGTATCATAAACGTGTGTTTCTCAGATCCTTTTTCTCCAATAGGCTATTCCAAAATCCAATGGAAAAATACCATTAGACTTTTTTATGAATTGCGCCCTTGAGATGCTAACTTCTGAATCGGCCTACAAAAATACGTCATAAGTCTGCAAAACTCTATTGAAAATGTTATCTGTTTTGCAATGAATAAAAGCTCTACAAAATGGAGAGAAATAAATGATTATTGTTATAAAAAATAAGAACAACACTTAAGTTGCTCTGGTTTTACAGTGACTCATGTTCGTATTCCCTGCAGGTTCAGTACAGTGAGAGGAGAGGCAGCAGGAAGAAGAAACTCTTGTAGTTCCTCCTCAAAAACTGTTCCCAGACGACCTGCATGTCTCTGGGTGTGTGGTAGGTTTGAATCTAAATCAGATGCGGTGATACACAGCGCACCAAACAGACCCTTCAACCAAAGAACTCATTTTGAGGACCCCGCAGCGGTGACGGAGGAGACATTTGTTATTTAATTTCCAAAGATTGTATGTACAGTTTTTTTCTTTTAGATAATCAGAAGCTGCTTTATTTTATATATTGCATGGCCCCAGGTTATGTTTTCCTGAAACCAGCAGAAATATCAGTTTGTATTATATAGAATGTATGTGCTGGGTGTGTAACATTTGTTCGATATTTTTATGTTATTTACACTGAAAATGTGCTGACTTCCAAAATGGAATAATCATCTAATGGTGAACAAAGTTGCTGTTGCTGAAATGAAAGTACATTTAATTATGGGTTACTTTTTATGGGTTACCAGTCATCATAAGAAATGTTCTTGGAAAATGGTTATATTTTAAAGTGCATGGTATTTGTGGTTTAAAAGAATATGATGAATTTCCGGTTTGAATGATTAAGGCTTTCTTATGTTCATATTATGCTGGCCCTGAAAGTCAATAACAAATTTCACAAAACACAACCACAATTCAGAAAACCCAATAACATTAACAGAAACAGGAAAAGGGAGGTAGTCTTTTAAATGGATTCCTTTGCTGATTAGATGCGTCTGTCAGTCTAAGCAAAGGATGATACTTCGTATTTAGGGCAAAGACTGGCCCACATATCCCATAATGCCCAGTGGTGGCTAATTGCTTACGTTTGCTGAGGAGTTGACGCTTTTTTTTTAATGTTACTTTTTGAGGAATCCATGTCCAATACGTGCCTACATGTTTCGGTTATAGGAAATGTTGTCGTTTTTCTCCATTGCTGCGGTGTTTTTTGAAATCTCGTGTTTTCAAAAAATGTTGTCTTTGAAAATGTTGTGTTTCGACCATCAGGGCCACCGTACCATACAGCAACATTGATTAGTAGCAAATATTCTGCATCATATCCTTTTTGTTTCTTTCATTTACCTTCTTTGAAAATGGATAAATGGCTATTGTGTAAAACATTGACTGACTGATTTTACTTTAACGTGACATTATGGACTTATTTTTACATGCAAAGATGATTCCTTACATTTAGTGTTTCATTCAATCTACATAAAGGATTATTGTACTCTGTTGTATTTTACTCTTTGCTTCTGAGTGGGTTGGGGCCAGATCTGTACACAGGCAACTTTATTTATTAACGACAATCACAAATGAATACTTTTGTTTCTCATTTCGGACAGCAATAAATGCAAAGTTTGGGTATATTCCTGCCTCTGTGTCTCTGCTCTCTCTTTGAATTCTCCTGCACGCTGTTTTGATCCTCTCCATGCTCCCGTGCTGCAGGATTGTGGGCATCTAACAACACCGTTTCAAAGCCCCCCTCTCTTCATTAGGCTTTCATGAAGCGAGGCGAGGCTGTGCGAGACCTCACCGGCACCCGGGCTCCCCGCTGTGTTGATGGCCCTTGGGCGTCGCCACAAGCGGGAGGACCTCAGCGACCTCATCTCAGCTGCTGCGACGAGACGCCTGCAGCCAGCCTCCTATCAAGCACAGCAGCCAGACAAAGCTCCGGTACCGGGCTACACACCGTTCAGGAGCAGGAGGAGGGTTTTAAAAAGCAGCCACAAGCAACAACAGCCGCACCAATTTAGGGATTGGAGAATTGGAATAGTTAAGATGTTTGCGTTCAGAGTAATACCCTGGGATTTATGGCTTTTAAGTCGGAGCGCGTGGGCTCCCATTCAGCAGCCTCCTAAATGAGTAAAACAAGTGGAAAACTGCTCACGTGAAATACAATAGGAATCCCATAATGTTTGTGCTGTATTATTATAGTGCACATGAAAGTATTTCATAATGGACCTGATACACATCTTACACAAATCTAAAACAATTTGATGATTTCTCCAATTGTTCCCAGGACAGAGGGTGGGGAATGTGGCAGACGCTGACCTGTATAGCTCTTCATCTAGTTAATGTTGACTTAGGTATTCAATATTAATAACTCGCTGTCAAGGACACTGCAAGGACATCTCAACTTGACACTTATAGGCCCAGCATGAATATGTATAGGCAGTGAGACGCTTCAAAATTACCAAGTAAAATCACGGTTCACACGTGGGGACTAATGTGATGTGGCACATGCATTCTGATGAGCCACAAAAACAGTGGCTGATAGGTCTCAAAAGACTTGTTATAACTCAATGTCGGACCTGAGAACATTCGTGTGTGTGTGTGAGTGACACCTAACCCTATTATCAGTTGTCGCCAAAAACATAGATTTGAGGGTGTATGTCCCTAATTTACTGCTTAGTTTGAAGGCCACTTTCATATAGGTAAGATGTGTCGCCAGACATTTTCTTATTTGAGGTTATATTTGCAAGTAACTTTGTGAGAAATCACTGTGTTCTCTCGCACAAAATCTTTTTGAATCTCCGCTGACAATCAGATCTGTCGGCTGTTGGTAGCCTCAGGCTCTTCGGGATCAAGGGCTTTGATGTTGGCCTGCTCCGGGACACCACAGTCGCCCCACAGCCTCTGGGCAGCAACCCAGCAAGTATACACACTTCACCCGTGATTTACCTGGACCTAGACTCCCTGAAGGATTGTTCACACTATGGAGAGTGGTGGGGGGTCCACATGGTCAAAATCAAGCTCATTATTAATATTAAACATTGTTGAACAATGGATAAAACTACAATTAGAGTAAAAAAAAGAAAATAAAGTAATAGCCTATGGAGAAATGTTTTGGAAATTGTTGATAAAAGACAAGTTAAAACTGGTTAAAACGCATCACAGTTAATGGTTAATGCTGCACATTTAACCCAGCTGTATTTCTAGCTGTCGATAAATATGAATTTGTTCCTGGATTGCAATGGCTTCTGACGTAGTTGTCAGACCCCACAGCTCTATCAGATGAACTCAGGTAGGGGCAACTTCTTGTTCGAAAACACCTGTCATGTTACAAATGTGCTCATCTCAATATAACAACTGGATGTTATTGAACCATTAATAATAAAATGTGATCACTTTACAATAGTTATTTCATTTCATTTAACACTCCATATTTAGTTTTTTGAGTTTGCAGTTGTAGGGTATTATTTTTGCAAAAGCTGGACCTTTCTTTAACATCATCAATTAGGCCTACTTTAGCTAACATCAACCATGTGTCTATGGCTTAATGTTTCAACCAACTCCATTATTGTATCCTTCGATTTCAGTCAAATGCTAGATGGTAAATGGACTGTACTTTATATAGCGCTTTATCCTGTCTTTAAGACCCCTCAAAGCGCTTTACATACTACATGTCATTCACCCATTCATACAGGGCAGTGTATCTTACTCTAGGACCTAACATTGACGCATTCACACACCGTTGGCCATGCCATCTGGAGCAACTCAGGGTTAAGTATCTTGCCCAAGGATACATCAAGATGTTGACTGCAGTCAATTAGACATTACTTTTAGTTAGTTTCTATTTGGATACTTTAAACTTACTTTCAACAATACATTGCTTTGAACTAACTTGTCAACACTTGTATTCATCTATTTTTGGCAGAGGTGGTGACTCGAGTCAGACTCAAGTCGCATATTTTTGGACTTGAGACTTGCTTGACTAACATTGATAAAAGACTTGACTTGACTTTGACTTGGTATTCATGACTTGAGACTTGACTTAAGCTTGAGACAGATGACTTGAAAGGACTTGACTTTTTAAAATTAAATATTTGCGTTTGTTTTTGTGTTGAGATATTACATTTAGTTTTTTCCAAACGTGATTGGGTGATTATAGTGCCGTGCGCGCAAACCTGGCAACCCACTAGAAGGCAGGAGTGTCAGTTAACATGGCAGCGGCTAGCGTTACTCCAAAAATAGTCAAGTTTGGATTCAAGGATTATGTTGTTGATGACGCTAATAAGAAGAGAACAGCGGTCTGCAGCATAAAGATCAGTAACACGACCACCACAACATCCAACTTAATTCGTCACTACAAAAAACCACAGAGAAAGGTGCGTGCATGTGTTGTGTTAGCTAGAAAGCTAACGTTAAGTTTAAGCTACGTTAGACTTGGTTTCAAATCGATTAAGCATTGCAAAGAGAAGATAAAACGGTAAATGAACACTCCGCCAAGCCTACATTAGCGGATAGGTGACTAACCGCCAATATGATGGGGTGTCGAGGAGAGAGAGGAGAGAGGAGGAAAAGGATGCCTCGTTTATTTTCCTCTGTGTTATTAATCAGTAAGTTACTGTGAACTTTTGAATAATGTAAGTTCATCGTCTACTTTTAGTAGTTTGTTCTAAAAGTTTTAATTATGTGGTTTTTGTTTGTAGAAG